TCCTATTGCCTTGTCCTCACTGTGTCTTCCAAAATGACATTGAGATGAAATTACAGTATGTTGTTTCCTTTGTCAAATTTTTTCTGTTTGAACTTAACTGGAAAGATGTTGTTTTTATAAGTAATATTTATCAAAGGTGAACTGCAAAGTTGCTTTTATTTTATTGCATTAGTGACTCTGCAAAACTTCTACAAATACTTAATTTGAGCATGTGTGTAAACTCATTGATTTCAGTGGGAATGCTCACATCCTTGAAGTTAAGTTCTCTATTTTCAGGATACGGCCTTAAAACCTAAAGCAGTAAATTGCAGAGCTGGCCCTGCAAATCTTATTTATGTGTGTGGTTCCACTGACTTTACCAGGACGATGGAGAGTATGAGCTGTATACAGAAAGGTGGCAACACTGTTCATTAGTGCATTTGAGTATTGAACCAGTGCTATCACTTACACACAGTTAGGTCGTGCTTATTCAATATAGTCCGTAAGTTTGGTGAAGTATACAGATCTTTAGTAGGCTGGAATGCTGATTTTGAGCCAAGAGCAAGAATAACGATACTATATGGTTTGTCCTTCAGACTGTATACTTACAGGCCTGTTTAACTGTTCATATTTGACTGTGAAGTATACTTCAGAGTATGCTTCAGTATACTTCAGAGGAAAGTCTCCTCTCTTCTGAGAAGAGTTTACTATAACAAGTAAATCTAAGCAAAGGCACAAGCATTTTGCAAGAGCAGGGACTGCATTTAGATATAGCGCTAGACATTCATTTTCATGCTATTTACCTATCACATTCTGAGTTTATACTTTAATCTTCTCAATTTAAGGAATCATTGTAGGAAAGATGAAGTTTCTGGTTTTTTTAACTAAAAGTTAGCTACAAAGACTAGCAGCAAAAGACTGAGATAAGTACTTGCATTTCTATGCATTTTGATTACAGTTCTGAGTTACGGTTTAGTTTTAATTCCTTACAATTATGTTTAGTAAAAAAGAAGAGATCTTGGTGTTTTGTCTCTCCTGTATTTGCTTTTTATTGTTTTTAATTTCAGCCATTTTCACTCTTCCATCAAAACACTGCTGTCTTTTCTTTTGCTGAGGTCTTTTACAGCATACACCATCCTTCTCCTTCTATAATACTCTCTTGAATCTTTTGTTCTATCTCCATATACTTACTTACTTTTTGCCTTTTAAAACTCTCAGTCCATTGATTTTTTTCTTGTATTCTCTTCAGTCTCCCACATCCAAGTTCTTTATTCCTACTGTGCTGGAGTTTTGGAAATAGCCTTATTAGTCAAGAAATATGTCCATATTTGCATTCGTCTAGGCCTATGCAGTGAGATACTTCCTTTCTCTTGCCACTGGCTAAGGAAAGAGAGTTGCAGTTGCTAAAGCACTCTCCTCCTTTCTCCAGAATCTGTCCCAAAGATGTGTTATCCCCACATTAAAGGACGGAGCTGGAAGTCTACTGGTGACCTAGGAACCGTGGTGTCTTTGTTGCCCTGCACGTACTGTGGTGATTTAGGGATCGATGGCAGCAATTAAGAATATCCATCATAGTTCCGATTTGAAGTTAGATGTCAACAAGTCTTCTGTTATTCCTCAGAAACAATATTAGGAATGTCTGCCTTTTTTCCTCCTTAAGTCTATGTGGACATGGTCTTATTTTAGAGAAATACTAACTAACTTTGTCTTCTGCTTACTGATTCTCATTTAACTTCCTTTTCATTATTTTCTTCTCAGACTTCTTGCTTACCCATGCATCTCTCCTCCTGTTGAAATAATATCTGATGCCATTGAGCTGATTCTAAATCAACGGAAAATCATTTAGGTCAGCAATATTTGAACTAAAGTCAGTGGAGTTACATCACATGTAAGCTGGATCATAAGCAGAGCTTGAACCAGTAGCCTAGATTCCAGTCTTAGGTTTTACTGGGACAAAGTCAACATATTTCAGTTACGTATTCACAATTTATTGGCAAATAAATGAGGTGAGAATGTGGACCCTTTTCTTTTGGCAGGGAAGAGGCGAACTTGCAGAGCTGGAATTTGGCAGTTGATTTTAGAAATATTTAATTTTAAAAGGTAGTTATTTCTGATTCATAATATTTATATGCATAAATATGCACAGTTATTGATTGGGGATTTTACATAATTTTTTTGTAATTTATTTTGTAGCACTTTGCAGTTCATCTTTATGGTGTAGGAGTAGGTTTGACCTTCAAATATTTCAGCATGTACTGACACAGTATTTTGGATTTGATGTAATCACGGAGGTAACTTTAATAAACCACAACTGATTTATGCACCAGTGAAATATATATATTTATATATATATAGTAGAATATCCTTCTTACATATTTTGTACTGTATCTTTTATATTAGCCACTCAGTGCACTATTACTTGATACAGATATTCACAGAACCTTATTGATTACAGCACGTAATTTGTTACTAATAATGCCTTAACACAGATATTTGATGCTTGATGGAAAAAGACTACATGTTCCTGAAACGGTTTCTTTTCAGTATGTGGACAGAGCCTCTTAAAGCTAAGGGAGCTAAACTTTTTGACGTGGAAATTATAGTACCCGCTAGCTCCTGTCTTTCAGCTTGATTGTAAGTGACATTGCTTGTAATGGTAGAGATTCTGATCTGCCCAAATGGTGTTGGTTTACAAAGGGCTCAGTTAATTACAAATTCTTGACCTCCTTAAAATAAAGTGAGACTGAAACTAAGAATCATATAGGAACCATTAACATGGTAAAAGTTGCTGAGCATCCAGGATTTGACATTAAAAAGCTTTTATATTGTTTCACTGAGCAATAAAAAAGGCTATGAAATGTCTAAAGGCAGATTTGATTTTTTTTTTCACTGTGCCAGACATGCAACTGAAATAAAAGCATATTTCTAATGTTTTCCTAGAAGAGGTTTATTTATACTAAAATTTAAATTTACACTTAATATACTCAGAGAAGTACTGAGATAAGCTGTTGAGCAGTTTGATGGGCAGGTTAGTTGAGGGACTGGAGAGGAAGCACTGCTGGGGGTGTTTTGGTGTGAGGCAAGGCATATCATCCGGTCTGTTAAATAAACCTGTTTATGTTGAATTTGGTGGAAGTTTGACCAGTGGCCAGGTCTATGTTGCAAATAAGGACCTAGTTCCCTGGCAGAGTCCAGGGTCTGCGTTGTGCTTGCTGCAGCTGCATGCCATACCGGGCAAGGTGGGGGCCCTTGCAAAGGCTCTTCCTGCAGAAAGGTGTTTGGGGACCATGTCTTTTTTTGATGGCAGTTGTGGGAGCTCACCGCCAGGGCAGACCGGGGCAATATGTAAAAATGCGTGGCAATATGTGTGTGTCTGAGTACCCTAACCTGTGCAAGGCAGTCTCCAACCTTTCCACTGCCTTTGACTACCAGCTGGATCTCCCCCGTGCAGCAGTGAAGAAAATCATTCATTTCAGTGGGAGGAAGATCGTTGGGGGCAGCAGAGAGTGCCAAGAAAACCTGTGGACAGCTAGGTGGAAACAATTCTACTTCAAATAGTAATCACAGGAATTGCTCTTTCTTTTTTGACTGCCAGCAGAAGCACTAGAAATCTGTTTCTTTCCTAGGGTGCAGCCAATCCCGAAGCACAGTTTTTCAAAGATTAAAAAACTTACGGAAGTTTACCATATAGGAATGACCGGTACACTTCCTACTGGCTCTTTATGCAACAGCATTCATACAAAGGTCTAGTTTCTCAGTCCCTTCACCTGGCTATCCATTATAAGTTAATCATCAATGTGAAGACCAGCACTTTGTTTACAGCTCTTTGAATGCTTAAAAACTTGCAAATGGTATGTAAATTTGGAAGCCATTATCACACAGATAAAAAAATGCATCCTTTCTGACATCTTTTTAATTCAGCCCTTCTTTTTCAGTTGCATATTTAACATTTGAAATAATTTGAAAGTTATTAATGGATTGGGCAGCGAAGTACTTTGTTCATGTTCATTTCAGAAGAAAACCCCAGAAGCTTACCTGAAGGTTTTTAGTATTTTCTTCTTCTTCCTCATCATTCTCTCTGGCTTCTTCTCTTTCTTCCGATTTTCAGTGGTTCTGTTTTTCCTTCTGTTCTGTTCTTGAGAGAGCTCAACATCCTCCTTCTTTGTGAGCTGCACTAAGCGCTCTTCTCCTTTGGGTACAAATGTGTAGGGTCTTTGAATATCCTTTTGAAGAGTTTTGCCGTCATTATGTGATGGTGTAAAGTATTCCAGATTATAATGTAGGCCTATGTTGTGCCAGATTTCGTCATCTTATCTTCAGAACAAGAGTTCATGGATGGTTTCAGGTATTGAGAACTATAAATACAGCATTACAGGAAGCATAGAGAACATTGGTACTGTGTATTTCACGTGTTTCGCCCCCAGCTTCATTGTCCCACTTCCACGGGAATGTGTATCCCCAAGCTTTTGAAGGTGGCTTCCATTTGTTCTGTTTTTCTTTTGTACCTACAAATTAAATCTGCTGTGAAAATAGAAAATGATGCATTAATTGAAAATAAATGTAGCTGTTTAGTTCCACAAGCAGGTAGACTGTATGATTGAACTTGTAGAAGATGTTACTGTCTTTTAATCAAACCTCAAGGTTAACTGGTTAACTTATTTTCATCCAAAAAAGATAGACTGAAAGAGCCCACATTATAGTGTGTATTGTTTTGATATGGACACGCCATATCCTTCTAATTTTAATGGCAGCCTTCCATGATTAACTGTATTTTTGCAGCTGCAAGAAGTGTGGTGGATAAGCACATGTGTCCTGGCCTGGAGCAGAGTTGCAGACAGTGTCGAGCCAAACTGCTTTCATTTTGAAGAGGGTAATTTCCCCATTGTCCCTAGAGGCAGCAACTCACAGCAGTGTTACTAAGCAGATTATGTCGTAATATAGGAGGAAACTCCCCTCATCGCATACACATTTTCACTGTAACTTTATTCCT